GCCGGGGCAGGGCAGGGTGGGACGTGGCGCCTGCCAGGGGCAGAGCCGTCGTGCCCCCTGCCCACTGGGTGCTGAGCACCCGCCCTGCCCGAGCCCCGTCGCCCCCGGCCCTGCCGCAAGCAGCTGGGGAGGCGCAGGGGCCTGGACCCGCTCCGCACCCCTCCAGCTACGGCAACAGTGGTGACAGCGATGGGGGGAAAGACCCCCACGTACTCCCACAATTGCCATCTCCAGGGGTTGGCTCCTTGCAAACCGGCGGCCCTGCGACAGCCCCGGGGTGGGATGGTGGCAATGGCCGAGGGGACACGGTGGGTGACCCTGTAGCCCCCACCGTGCCCAGGCAGGCAGACCCCAGAGGGGTTTTGGAAGGGATGGAGGGACGGGGGTCCCAGCAGCTCCCGCTTTGTTCCCGCTTCGCCTCCACCAGGCAGTTGCTTGGCAACTCCATCCGTGCGGCCGCGGGAAAGCAGCAAAACGTGTCCCCGCGTCCCCATCCCCAGCTGCACTGCGCCCCAGTGGGATGGCACGGCATGGTCCTCCTCCACCCCGTGGCACCTCCATCTACCCCACCAGGCCCCAGTGCTCAGACCCCACCACATCCCACCCAAGACCCCAAAACGCTCCCACCCGGCCGAGCTCCTCCGTCCCCTCTGCCTGGGGCAGCCGGACGAGGGTCCCCAGCCCTGGGTGCAAGCTGTGGGTGCACGGAGGAGGCTTCTCCTGACAGCAAAGGCTGGAGGGAGCAGGAGGGGAAACTGAGGCACGGAGAGGCCATGCTTGCCGGTGGCAGCGGGGCCACATGGGCAGGAGGGACCCGGAGCATCGTGCCATGCCAAGGGCCACGCTTGCCCCCAGGAAACGCACCCCAGATCCGGGCCCATTGGCTCGGCCCAGCTCCTCTCCCCCGGCTCGGCATGGACGGGGGCACTGCTGGCACAGAGCGAGCTATTAGCTTAATTAATTTGCTGTTATTTCTCCTAATGAGCTGGGATCTGGAGCAGGCGCTTCCCTCCCAAAGCCTGCGCCTCCATTTGCAGCCATGTTGCATTCCCCCGCCCTGGCAGCCGAGCGGGGGGTGCGAAGCCTCCAGGCACTGCTCAAAACAGACCTTGTGTAGGAGGGAAAAATTACACCGAGGGAAAAATCCCTCCCCGAGCCAGCGCCTTAACCCACTTCCCGGCTGCAGTGCCGGGAGAGGGAATCTCAGCATTTGGGGAAGGGGAGAGCCCCCAGTCGAGGGGCTTCTCAGCTGGCAGCTTCTCCACCAGGTCCCTGCGATGGTCCGAGCTGGCCTCTGGACCAGGCTCAGCCCTAAGCCCTCTGCCAGGGAGGGAAACTGAGGCAGGGGTGCTGGTGAGGGAAGGGGCAGGATGGCAGTGGGGGTAGGAGGTCGATGGCTCCTGTCTCTGCTGCCAGATGGGCTCTGGGACCCCAACCCCACTGCCGGCAGCGAGGCTAGAAGCCAGGGAGAGCTGCAGGGGCTGGGGCAGGATGCAAAGGGGGGGG